GTATAAATTTTTTCTCTCAAATCATGTCGAATCCGAATTTCACTTTTGCAGATTACTTCTATAAGAGAAACTAAAGTTCTAATATGTGATTCTAACTCAGAGATAGCTTCAACACTATAAAAGTCAAATGCGGATGAATCAGCTAACAATTTAATGGACTCAATTAGCATTTTATGTGATATTTTGTTATCCTCAATGATCTTTTTCAAAGAGTAAATATCATGAGTACTTGTCCATTTCTTAAATTTTTTAATAAGATCACAAGGTTGAAATTCTGGTTCCGAGGTATTCTATTTGTATAAAAAATAAGATATTAATTATTTAAGCTGATATGTTGCCAAATTTCTGGCTTAATTGGCTATGTATAATATGTAATTAAAAGCATGTGTATGACTAGTTTTCCGGTTTCAATTAAATGTCATTTTTTTGGCAATACTATTAGTAATATGATAATATTGATATAAACACCAAAGATATGATATAGAATAAATTTTATTTAACTTCGTAGCATCAGTTCGTTAAAAATGGTGTACTTAAATGACTAAAAACTAATAACACACATTCTTTCAATTATAAATTTGTTATACAGTTATACGTCGTTGACCAAGCTTTTTTGTAATCATAATAACCTCAAATTTAAGATAATCGTCCATCTTATTGAAAAGTTCCTTAAAAAATCTATGCTAAAGTAAAAAAAATAGACAAACTTCTCAAGGTAAGTACGTACGTATGTTTTCAGAAATGTTGTGTAAAGTTTTTGTACTAAACATTTAGGTCACGCAGGTGCACAAAATATAGGACAAGTTACATTGACACCATTCTTTTGATCAATCATTAAAAATATATATTGCAGGCTCTTTATAATAAACGAAAAATTCAAATTATTTTTTTAAATAAAATGGCCAAAGCCGAAGTGCGGTGAATAGTATTTATACATACACTGACTCTCATAATTATTGTTCCACCGCATTTAAAATTTTTAGAGCGTGATATTTCACGTTCTATAAAGCAAA